CCACCCTCACCCAAACTCCAAAGAAGGAGGGGCGGCAAGGGCCGTTAAAACTTTCAGTCAACCCCTGCAGACTGCTCTAGCACTAGAAGGCTGACATTCCCCAAAATTTCATAAGTCCTTTCCCACCCACCTCACAGAAGCCCCCGTCCAAGTTTCACACCCCACGTTTCATGTCTGGTTCGCAATAAAATGTTTGTTTCTCTCCATTACTGTTTCAGTCAGGTTCTTTTGAGGGAGAGTCTGTCTGGAGGGGGGGAAGGGGCTTGGTAATTGGGCAGGACAGTGACCTTTAGCAGGGTACAGAGGCGGTGTCAGGTCCAGCATCAGGACACATACACAGTGCAGTCACTGGTTACCCTGGTCAGTCTGGGAGGTGTTTTTCATGTTCTCCATTGAAATAACCAGTCCACCAGTGCGGAGCCTGTCATTCCGGGAGTTTAGAAGCATCATTTGCATCAGAACACTGAACCCGCCCCCCGCCACAGTCTGCGTCCCCGGTTTAAAATATTCCCGCGAAAACAGCAATACAGACAACGCTGTTCATTAACAAAATCGAAATGATTTTATTTTTTGGGAAGGGGAAGGGGGTGAAGGGGGTATGTAACTGGAGAGGATAGTCAAAATGAACTGGGTAAAGAAACGGGGGCAGGTTCAGCTTCTCTGTCCACAAACTGAAAAGTCACTGGTTGCCCTGCTCACTCAGGAACCTAGCTTTCAAAGCCTCCCGGATGCACAGGGCGTCCCGCTGGGATCTTCTAATGGCCCGGCTGTCTGGCTGGACGTAATCAGCAGCCAGGCTATTTGCCTCTAGCTCCCACCCCGCCATAAAGGTCTCCCCCTTGCTCTCACATAGATTGTGGAGCACACAGCAAGCTGCAATAACGATGGGGATATTGGTTTCACTGAGATCACAGCGAGTGAGTAAGCTTCTCCATCTCCCTTTGAGACGGCCAAAAGCACACTCCACCACCATTCTGCACTTGCTGAGACGGTAGTTGAACAGTTCTTTTTCTGTGTCCAGGGCGCCAGTATAGGGCTTCATGAGCCAGGGCATTAGCGGGTAGGCTGGGTCCCCGAGGATGACTGTAGGCATCTCCACATCCCCAAGAGTTATTTTGTGGTCTGGGAAGTAAATACCTTCCTGCAGCCGTCTAAACAGACCAGAGTTCCTGAACACACGAGCGTCATGAACCTTGCCCGGCCATCCGACGTAGATGTTTGTAAACCGTCCCCGATGGTCCACCAGTGCTTGCAGCACCATTGAAAAGTAGCCCTTTCTATTGATGTACTGGCTGGCCTGGTGGTCCGGTCCCAGGATAGGGATGTGAGTCCCATCGATAGCCCCTCCGCAGTTTGGAAATCCCATCGCGGCAAAGCCATCTATGATGACCTGCGCGTTTCCCAGGGTCACTACCTTTGGGAGCAGTACCTTCACGATTGCCTTGGCTACTTGCATGACAACAACCCCCACGGTAGATTTGCCCACACCAGAGTGGTTCGCGACTGACCGGTAGCTGTCCGGCGTTGCAAGCTTCCAGAGGGCTATGGCCACTCGCTTCTGGACAGTGAGGGCTGCTCGCATGCGGGTGTCCTTGCGCTTCAGGGCAGGGGACAGCAACTCACAAAGTTCGAGGAAAGTCCCCTTCCGCATGCGAAAGTTTCGCAGCCACTGGGATTCATCCCAGACCTGAAGCACTATACGGTCCCACCAGTCCGTGCTTGTTTCCCGGGCCCAGAATCGCCGTTCAACAAAATCCACATGCCCCATTGCCACCGTGATGTCCTGGGCGCTGGGGCTCGTGGTTTCTGACAGCTCTGTGCCACTCTCCGACTTCAGGCTCTCACGGCGGTGCCGTAGCCTCCTCGCCCGATTTCTCTGCATCTGCCTCAGGGAAAGGTGTATGATAAGCTGCGAGGTGTTGAGAACGGCCACAAGTGCAGCGATGGTCGCAGCGTGATCCATGATCGCAGTGCTGTGGCGTCCGCGCTGTCACTGACCAGAAAAGTGCGCGAACTGATTTCCCGCCGGCGCTTTCATGGAGGGAGGGAGGGCGTTAGTGACGGACGGATGACGACAAATTTTTTTTACCCAGAAGGCATTGGCGGCTCGACCCAGAATTCCGATGGGCAGCGGGGACTGCGGGAACTGTGGGATAGCTGCCCACAGTGCACCGCTTCCAATATCGACGCTCGCCCCGTTAGTGTGGACTCACAAAGTCGAATTACTGTCCTTAGTGTGTCCTTAGTGTGGACACACACGTTCGACTTTGCAATATCGATTCCACATATTCGATTTAAGTAAAATCGAATTACCCTCGTAGTGTAGACATACCCTTAGAAATGTCTGTATTAAGTGATAAAAGGGAAAGCAGCAGTCACTAGACCTACTTTAACTCCGGAATTATCCACACAGCGTACAATCAATTTCAAATAACAAAAAATAATATAATATACAAAATAATCCCAGTATTTCTAAATGCTTTATTTAATTTAGGAGACTACTGTAAATCTGTTTATCAATTGGAAATTTATTCATGTGTTATTAATATTAGAAAATAAAATATAAAAAATAAAATCTCAATGCACATATTTTTGATAACTGTGACAGGATTTCTGGATAAAAGTAAATGGGAGATGCTCTCATTTTTTCTGAGGGTAGCATCTGGTTCTTAGTCAAAAGTAGCTTGGAGAAAATGTAAATGGCCAGAGCTGGCTTTGAGAAAAAAGATACTGTATACCAAAAGAAAAACCCTTTCCTATCCAATAGCTTGTTATATAAAATACGTTTTGTGTATATGTTAGTGTTCTGTGTATATGAATAGCTCACAAAGATTACATCTTTGTGTTCCACTGCTCAGATACTGTGGTAAAAAGTGCCTTAGAAATAGGAGATATTTGTACATATACACATACCCATACATATCCCAATACTTTAATGTACAAAGAGTAGAGCAGGTTTCCATGTCTAATTTATGCCAATTACTAGCCTTACCAGTCAAGAGGCCTGATTTAATGGCAAGAACAATTTATTTCCCTCTGGGTAGGTAGAAACAGTTGGACTCAGCTTCTTAAGAGCCTTTGTTCATGAACATCTGTGTTCAAACTCCTGTAGTTAACAGATGATGCTCGCAGTAAAAAAAAAAAAAAAAAAAAGATTAAGGCTTCCTGTAAATGTCATTGTCAAATTTTGTGGACCTCTACGTAATCGTTATTGGGAGGGAACGTGATCTAACTTGTTGTTACAGCACTTTTATTGAGGTGATTGCTAGTATAAGACCTTTGTGTGACAAATGGCATTTTTCTGTTTCTGACATTATTTTGCAGCCAGCAACATACTTTATGTTAGTATATCAGGCTAAGTTTCCAGAAGTGGTCAGACAGTAAGATTTGCCTGGGCAGTTGTTGAATTGCACAAACAAGTACATGTAACAAAATATTTATTGTTACAGCTTAAAAACACTTTTAGCCATGCAAGTTGATTTGAATATTAAGTACTGTGAATGTGAATTGTATACTGATGCTAATACACTATGCCACTTTCCAGCTTACAGGGAGCTCATTGTAGCTCTCTGAGTCTCAACCATCTAGCCTCTGCATAAGTTAAAGCTTGTGGACTGGGGTGGGGTCCGATCACAGTTTTAATTTACACCAGTGGAGAATTGGGCACAGCTCTGCTCTTGAACGGCTTCTCCAGCATCCTCTCCGACCTCAACACACACATTCCCTTCACTTACAGTGGGAGAAGTGGGATGTTCCAGCATAGGAAGCTGCAGAGCCACCTCTTCCAGCTTTGTGCTGGTCAGAAATTCTCCCTATATAAGGGGAATTCTCTACTGCAATTTTCTCTTTGCTTGTGGTTCACTTTATGCAGCTTAAGCAGTATGGACAGGTAAATCTGGCTCTGTAACGTAGTGTCTAGTAGCCTCCCCTCATGTTGCATCTTTCTGCTTGGAGGTTTGATTTGTGGGAGTCTAAAGAACTCCGTTCTTTTACAATTATGTACTTAGTGCCTTGTCCACTTAGTTTACTTAGTATACTGTCCATGTTTTCCACTTTTACTGTACAAGAATAGTGTACTAAGTACGTTCATTGTACACGGTCGTAAGTACATAATTGTAAAAGGGTAAAGTTCTCTAAACTGTATAAACCCATAAAAGAAATACTCCAAGAAAAATATGTGAATCACATTCCACAAGTTAATAGCATAAGGAGGCATGTAACTTAGTATTCACTTACATTTGAGTGATGAAAACGGAATGCAAATACTTTCTAGCTAAGAATTTTAGTTGGTTTTCCGTATGTTTTATTTTATAATTCTGATATTGTCTGCATTTAGGAAGATAGTTGATCGGGTGTTGGACTCAGTGGGGACACACTGGTGTAAAGCTGGTGCTTCCTGGAATGTATTGCTAAATAATGGCTTTCACAGATTTTCACAATTATAGTGGTGTTTGTTAAAAAGTCAGTATTTGCCTTTCCACATATTTCCCCCTACATTTAGAACAGGAGATAATTTTGATAACTGAGGTAATAATTGGCAAATATTAACTTTTTAGTATATCCTTCTGTGTTTAGGGTTTTAATACTGGAAAGTACATTGTCTAATGAATGTGCAGTACTGGCAACAGGAATCCTATAGCTAAATTCCAACACAGATTTGAAAACTTGGCCCTAGATATCCACAATACAAAACAAGCACATGTTTGGTTTTGAGTATTGTACCCTTTACTAGCTAATAAAAGTGATGCTGGTACTGTCAACTTGCTAGAGTGATATATGAACGAGGGTGACTGTTGTTAACCTTCACAATGGAAAGGCCTTGATAAGTGCTATATCTACAGCAAGTTGAGAAATTTTTTAGGTTTTTAGCAAAAAATCTCATGAAAAATGTGTCCGTTTTTCGTCACAAAATGTGGAATTTTGAAATGTTTTGACCAATACTAGATGTATGTTAACAATCATGAAAAAGCACTGAATTTTGACTTCTTTTCTTCCTGCAGACTGGTGTTTGCGAAGCTAAAGCTCTTAATGATAGCCATAGAATACAAGTCAGAAAAACGGGAAAGCAGGTACGTTAATGACTACAAAATTTGACAGCTTTTCAGTATGCACCATAGACAATTTGGTCTTCTACTTTTTTTTTCTGAATGAACATAGCTCTTTTATGCATGTGAAAGCATTTCAAAGCATAATTAATATGGCATCACTTTACACCAGTTCACATAATACTGGCAGGCTCTGCCTCTCTCCCCCTCTGCACCTGAATTAACATTATGTCAAATACTTTGTTGGAAGAAAGGCTGGTAGTTTTATGTACAACTTACTTCAATAAGTGTCACTTGGTATCAGTGAAACAAATAGCTTCCACCTTTTTTTTGCCCAGGCTGACCTCACGAGGGAGCCAGTCTGCTGTAATCAGAAAAGTAGTGTATTTTACTGGACTGTCAGGAATGAAAGATAGCAACAATCTCATGATAATATGCGCTGTATTATGTACTGCATGCATTTCTCTGCATCACAGTTTTAAATGAATGAGAAGAGAAAGCTATTTTTAGAATAAACATGGAAGGTTTGGACAGTATAGATACAATAGATAGATATAGATAGATATATATGTGTGTAAGAGTGTATAAATAATATGATTGAGCTGGGAAGGATTTGTTTTAGTTAGAAAATCTGAATATGCCAATTTCACTCTCCATCCAAAAATTGAAGGAAAAAATCTTTATAGCTAATAACAAAAATTTACAGACAGAAAAAGAGTTGTTTTGTGTATGAGAGCTAAAAAGAGTCCCAGCTTAATGTGCATTGGTGTCAAAATTCTATCTAATTTATCAATACCTCCATCTGTACATTCACACCACATTCATTGTTACCTGAGATGGTAACAAAACCTCCTGGTCTGTTGCCAGTGTGCTCTAAAAGGGCATGATGCAAAGTAATTGTGGACTTACAAACTGTATTAAATATTTCTGAAATATGTTATCAACATACTGTAGACAAATCTATTACAAGATTCTGTAGTAAAACTGTTAACATACGCAGAAGTCTGTCATCTTATCTTTTTGGTAACTGGTCACCTAAACCTAAGATGGAGGTGATATTGAGTTTATACAGCGTTAGACCATGTCTACACTACCACTTCTGTCGGCAAAGCATATGTTGGGCAAGGGTGTGAAAAAACACACCCTTGTGCGACATAAGTTTCACCAGCATAAGTGGTAGTGTGCACAGCATTATGACAGCAGGAGAGCTTCTTCCACCAACATAGTTACCACCGATTGTTTGGGGGGGGTTTAATTATGTCAACAGGCAAGCTCTCGCCTGTTGGCATAGAGCAACTACACAAAAGATCTTACAGTGGCGCAGCTGCATCGCTACTGTGCCACTGTAAAGTCTTTAGTGTAGATATAGCCTTAACCTTCACCTGAACAACCAGTTCAGTTCTTAAACCATGTATCACAACTTTGGACATGTTTTTATATTTTTTTAATTATTTGTTTAAAGAATGTTTAATCATCCCTAAGTATCCATTTTTCTGATTATAAAGAATCTATTAAAAAAGTCCTGGGGTATCCAAGACAGTCTGAATGTTTCCACTTGTTAAGTGGATAGTTGAAATATAGCTCCCATTGAACGTTTGATTTTACATCCCTCTTTTTTTTTTACAGTCCTCTGACAAATGATATGTGAAATGGTGTATGTGACGCTGGATTTTCTTTTTGTCCAATACCACTGCAAATTAAGGGGACCCTTCTTTTAAGTCAGAATTTTGAAATGTTTTCAACTCCCATGGGCTTATCTTAAAATAGATACCTTCCAATGAATAGCCTCATTCTGCATTAGCAGGTGTAGAGCGAGCAATTTATTGTTTTCATGTTTGATCAGTTTCATCCATCACTAGAAAGGACAATACAATAGATACATTATCGGTAACTATTTACATGAAGTTCTTGGTTTATACTGCTTCTCAATAAGAATTCATACTCAGCTCTTTGCTGTCATTGCTTCCATTGTCATTTTGTGATATAAGTGTTGATATTCGTAGTTTTTCTTCAATAATTTATGAGAGGATCCATCTCCCATGTAGGTCAATTGGAGCCCTTCCACCAACTTCAATGGGAGTTGGATTGGTCCTTATTCACATGATGGTACAGAAAATTCAAATAAAGTAACACAGCATGATAGAGCATCCACATATATATATTCATTACTTAATGTCAAAAGTTAAAAGTTCATAGTAAAGAAATACGGTAGAAAGTGAGGACAACAGAATTTCTAGGAAAAAATAAAATACTAATGAAGATGAGTTAACAGTTTTGAGACTGTGATAGCACAGTATTTGTTATACAACAGTAGAGAAATCCATTAGTTGGAGGGCCAGCTTTTGCTCTTTTAAACTAGTGCCAAAATAGTACTGTTGGTCTGATGAACCAGGGACTGTTTTAAGGTTAATTATCTTGTGAACCACCATAGCTGGAATATTTACATTTCGTTAGAAAGCTTGGAATAATCACTTTCCTGTGACATATGATGTTAATTTATAGTTTTGCTTGTCCATGTGATACTGGACCTCAGTATCACGTACTTCTGATACCGTCCTGAATTTCTACCATATGCTTTGGCCCCAGTTAACCAGAGCACTTAAGCATATGCTTAAAAATACCAGTAAATAATTAATGTAATAAATTAAATGAAACCCATGCTTTAAAACCAGGTAAAGTCCCATTGAGTTTAATGGGACTTCAAAGTTAAGCACGGGCTTAAGTGCATTGCTGAATTGGAACATGTTAGTCTAACCAGAAATGTAATGGTAGAAATCATCCATTTCTCACTTTTTAGGGTTTCTTGAGAATATTGGCTCCTAGAGTCATGCTTGAATTGAAGCAGAGAGATGAGAAAGCAAGACAGTGATCAGAATAACCTGATTTTAAGCATGGGGAGTCAGTTTATTGCATTCATTATTCAACAATATTTTTTGTTGCTGTTGATTGTGGTGAAAATATCAGACCTTTTTCCCTCCAATTCTAATGTCTTCAGCATTTAACTGGGCCTTAATTGGTAGTTCCTCTTCAGTGTGAATAGGGAAGCTGCCTATACCATGGGACTGAACCCAGCTTCACACACTTCTTGGGCGAGGGGTCCACAGTGGAGGTATACAAATTAACTAGCCTCCTTGTATTGTGAAACTTTTGAGAAGTTCTCCATAGTTTACATTCGATGGCAACAAAAATGTTCAGAGGAAAAAATATTTAACTAGATGCTTGCTTCGAGGACCAGTATAGCATGATGTTCCTGAGTCTGGAAACATTTTGAAGCTCCAGTACCAATTTTTTCAGGGCCAGTGAAAGATTACTTCTTTGAATAGTGTCCCTGTGGGTGCTCCACTTCAGGTGTGCATATACCCCTGAGATTTGATCAGAAATTTCTGGTAGCAGTGCTCGTTCAGCCGACGCATACACCCTACACACCCTCGTGCCCCATACCGAGGCTATATAGGGCTTCTTGGACAAACCGCACTCAGTTTCTTTTCAACCTCCTTCAGCCAGAGACAGAATTTAGTGTGCACCTGTTTCCTCTTTTATTATTATTCTTAGCATTAATAGTTCTTAGTAGTAGTAGATTTAGTGTCTTGTAGATGTTGGAACGTTTGTTCCCACTTGTTTTTCTCTTTTCTTTCAAAAAAAATTATATATTCATATTTTTGTTTGTTTTTCCCCCTACTGAGGGGCCCTAACAAATTTTCTTCTGTCTGGGCTGCTGGGCTCCCTGGGATTTAAAAGGTGCTTCTCTTGTCAAGAAGTAATCCCCATGAGTGACAGGTACTCCCAGTGCATTTGTTGTTTGAGAGACGCTCATATTCCCAGCAAGCACCAGATCTACACTTCTTTTAAGGGAAGGTTCCCATAAAAACAGGGAAATAAAGTATAGGCTCTTAATAATAGAGCTAACCTTAAGACTGGCTTCTGACCAGATGCAGAAAACCCACCTGTACAAGCTATTAGTGCCGTGTCGACATTGAGATTACAGTCACTGAGAGCTTCCAAGGTGAAGATGGCATAGAAACCCTGGTCTCTGACAATCTCTATGAGCGAGGTACCAACAACTGCGCTGGCGGTACCAAGAGCTTCCCACTCTAACACAGAGGAGGGGATAAGATGAGAAGAACAGCAAGTTCCTCCTTGAAGAAGATTTAGTCACTGGAGGCCCTGAGATGGCTGCTTGTGAGGCTCTGAGCACTTCAGGTACTATGAAGCACTTCAACTAAGTCCCATACTACAGCGGTAAAGGCCTCAGCACCAAAGACTACTATTACCAAGAAATAGTGGAATCCACTATCCCCTTGGTACTCACATCAATGCCTTGGACAATGGCATCTGGATCATCATCAGTGCCTGTATCAAGTTCTGTTGTGCTCCTGGTATCACAGACATTCTGGTACCCGAAAGACCTCATGGTACCGAATGAGCCTGAGTCTCCACTCCTTGTGACTTCTGGACACCTCTAAATACTGAGGTCTGCTGAGTCCCTGACTGCTCATGTTTCTGTGAGACCTACGTCTTCCCTAACTTCTACTATCCATGAAGCGGGGTTGCCACCTCTCCTACAATATGTGGAGGAGCATTCTGACTCAGACTCTGAACTTTCAGTTCATGGGTCTCCACTTTATTCCAGTATCAGAGGGGTAGCCGTGTTAGTCTGGATCTGTAAAAAGCAACAAAGAGTCCTGTGGCACCTTATAGACTAACAGACGTATTGGAGCATAAGCTTTCGTGGGTGAATACCCACTTCGTCAGACGCATTTTATTCCAGAAGACATTATTCCCTGATGCAGATGCAACAAAGCAGGATATCAGACCCCTGCCTACAAATATTGTGGATGGTCAACGTTGGATACCTCCCCCCACCATGCCTTTTGGTTCCCCTCACTGGCCTTACTGAGTGGCACACTGTCTGAAGTGGTTCACGACCATGAGTGCCAACCCATGGGGAGACTGTCAAAAAACAGGGCAGATACCCCAAACTGTCCGTATGTTCTATAATTAGATTTCCCCAGCCCAGTAACAAA